TTGCAAAAGATTTATTACCAGCCTTCGGGTTATCAAAGGACTGCGAAAAAATTGCATGAAGCTTCTCTAAAAGCTGGGTTCGATTTTACCTTAAATGAAGTACGTGATTAGCTCAAAAGACAGGCCATATATCAGATTCATAGACCACGGCCAAAGTATATTCCACAAGTAAGTTTTAGCTCTATTACTACCCCCAATAAAGTTTACCAGGCAGATGTTCTCTACATGTCTTATGATAAAGTAAGACAAGTCACCTATCTTTTTTGCCTTAATGTGGTGAACATGGCTTCGAGATATAAAGTATCTTTTCCTATTGGTGCATATAGTGTCAAGGATAGGCAGGGAATCTTAACTTCAAAGACTATTGCTCGAGCTCTTAAGAAAATCTATGATAATCCTGAGTGCTCTCTTATCTGGCCGGAAACATTTTTAACAGATAGAGAGCCAGAGTTCAGGGGTAATTGTGAGAAATTAATGAGAGAACATAGCGTGAAAATTCAGAAGGCCAAGACTAAGCGTGCTATAGGTATTGTTGAAAGTTATAATAGAACTTTAACAGAAAAATGTGGGTTTCCTCAAGATGCTTCTGATCAATTACTTCTTATTACTGAAAGATCTTGGGTTTGGGTAAAAAATCTTCAATTATTTGTTGAAGATATTAATAATTCCATAACCCACCAAATTGGTATGGCTCCTGCTATAGCTATAGAAAAAAAAAGTGTTATTGCTAAGGCTTCTAAACCATGTAATAGGCCTATAGGATATGATGAAAAACAATTGGATTATAATACTTTTGTAAGATATTTGCTTGAGCCTGATGAGTTAAAGAGTGGAAGTAGTCATGCTGAGGATTTAATTTGGTCTCCTCAAATTTATTATATTAAAAAATTATTTGTACAAAAAAATCAGCCAGTTCTATATTAGCTTATAGATAATGAGAACAATAGTCCTGAACGATCATTTGTATGTGAAGAATTGCTAGTAATTCCTCATGATTCTGAATTGCCACCCCAGTGGGTGTTAACAAGTTAAGAAAGTTATCAGCTTTGCATATTTAGTTTCACTAGCGGTGCTAATCATCTGTAAGTGACATGTTAAGAAGTCCTTGAATAATTCCTTTCGCATTATCTTTAGATATTTCACATTTTTCTTCCTGAGATATTTCATAATAAAGGCTATATAATTCTTCTAGTTTAGTATGCAATTTCTCCCGATACCATACTTGAATCTTCTCTAATCTTGTATTATATGATATTTCATCTGGAACTAGTTTTCTTGTAATATATCTAGCATATCCGTAAGGATTTTCTGCCAATCGCAATTTTTTTACATAGGTAAAATGATCTCTAACAAATTTACTACTCTCTTTAAAATTCTGGCATATTGCTGTTTCCAATACTTCTAGCAATGCTTTCTCCATTTTTTTTGCTAGCTCCTCTGGAATCACTTGAGATAAAGATTCCATTCTTTTATCATTATTAGATGTCATCTCGTTTTAATAATCTCAGAAAATATTTAATTTGTAAAATTGTTAGCAAGCTAACAAGCAGTTAACATAATATATTTCCTTATATAAACAAATTTTTGATTTGTAAAACACTTTAAAGTTATAAAACAATAAGAAGGTATAGCATTTTATTCTTGTCCATATCCATATATTGATGGTCGTATATGTGGAAATAAATGTTATCAGCAAGAAGGATGTCACATTCATTGGAAAAGGCGATTTCGTATTCCTTGTGATGAATGTGATACACTAACTACTTCTTCTTATGGAATGTGTGTAAAACATGCTGGAAAGTATTATAGTAAAGCTAATTATTATAAAAAACAAACTTTCATTTCCAACCACTAGTGTTTCGAATCCAAATCAATCTGATAGGCCTCGAGAACAGAGAAGGATTCTCCTGAGCGTCTTGCCGCTCAACCACGCTAGGTTTACATAATTTTTTTCTCCTGAAGGTCTTGACCGAAGGAGTGGGTCTATTTGGCTAATCTGTGATAAGAAAACTGCTTGATCGCTCTGGCTACTTTGGACACGGATATCTCAGGATTCACTGATTAGAATCATACAAATGCAGACCGTGAACATATCTTGTATACATATCTTGTGTACATATGCTTCGCATCTTCGATGCTCCTCAACCCGTGAACATATCTTATTTACATATGCTCCGCATCTTCGATGCTTCTCAACCTGTGAACATATCTTATGTACATATCTTGTGTATATATGCTCCGCATCTTCGATGCTCCTCAACCTGTGAACATATCTTGTATATATATGCTTTACATCTTCAATGCTCCTCAACCTGTGAACATATCTTGTATACATATCTTGTGTATATATGCTCCGCATCCTCAATGCTTCGCAACCCGTCGCATCCTTGATGCTCCTCAACCTGTGAACATATTTTGTGTACATATGTTCTGCATTTTCGATGCTCCTCAACCTGTGAACATATCTTGTGTACATATCTTATGTATATATGCTCCGCATCTTTGATGCTTCGCAACCCGTCACATCTTCGATGCTTCTCAACCCGTGAACATATCTTATGTACATATCTTGTGTATATATGCTTCGCATCTTCGATGCTCCTCAACCCGTGAATATATCTTGTGTATATATTTTGTGTACATATGCTCTGCATCTTCGATGCTTTTCAACCCGGAACATATCTTGTGTACATATCTTATGTATATATGCTTCGCATCTTCGATGCTCCTCAACCCGTGAACATATCTTATGTACATATCTTGTGTACATATGCTTCGCATCTTCGATGCTCCTCAACCCGTGAATATATCTTGTGTACATATCTTGTATACATATGCTTCACATCTTCGATGCTTCTCAACCCATGAACATATCTTGTGTACATATTTGGTATACATATGCTCCGCATCTTCGATGCTCCACAACCCGTGAACATATCTTGTATACATATCTTGTGTATATATGCTCCGCATCTTTGATGCTCTTCAACCTGTGAACATATCTTGTGTACATATCTTGTATACATATGCTCTGCATCTTTGATGCTCTACAACCTGTGAACATATCTTGTGTACATATGCTCCGCATCTTCAATGCTTCTCAACCCGTGAATATATCTGACCCCCTCTAGGCATCCCTAGGTATCCTAGGGTTTTTGTGTCAGATTTCAAAGAGTATAGCTAAGTAAGATTACAAAATAGTATTTCTGAGATTGTGGAATCTCCAGCTAGGCAAGAAATATAATTAGTAATTATAATGAGCTATAGATGCGAGAAATAGAAAAAGAAAACAAAGTAATGTAGCAAGAAGGCATTGGGGAGCCTACTGCTCCTTAGTAGGAACAGCCCTGTTCCCCCTGATTTGTGAGGTGAAACATTCAAGATGTTATCAATCATTTAGGGTTTAAGTTCAGTTGTAAGAAGGTTATCTGCTTTGATTGCTTATTGTATCATATTGAGTAAGAGTTGATGTAATGAGACACTTGCATTATATACTAATTGTTGACTGGTAAGACAAAGTCATATATGATCGAAGTCTTCATTAACAATATTATAGGATAAACAAAGTTGATGTTAGGGTAGAAGTTAGTATGTCATTTTTTGATAACATTAGAGTGATGAGAGTATCTCTAATAATAATTTAAGCTTTTGTTTCTTTAAATATTTTTTATTGTTGTTTAGTATGTAACATGTGGCAGACCAGTGAATTGATTGCTTTTCATATTTGGTAAAGTGAGGTGAGTTGATGAAGGTACTAAATCAAAGAGATCTAAAAACATTGATATTAGATATTATTAAAGTTATTGCATCACAATAATCTACAAAATTAGCGTTGTTAACTTTTTCAAACTTCTTTAACATATTTATAATTTCTATATTATTTATTTTATATTTTATCTTTATTTATTATATTATCAATTTTATCTATTTATTATAAAGTAACATTAAATATAGTTTTCTTATAATTGTAATTTTGTATAAATAGGATAGAAAGTTGCTCTTGTAAAAGAGCAACTCAAGAGTGCGAGTTCAAGACTTAGAATCCAGGAGTAAGGATTTCTGAGCATACAAATCTATAATAAAAGGAAATCTTTTTTTATACAATAATCTATAATTTCCCTTCAATGTATCTAAAAGTGTTTATCATTTTGTTATAAAGTTATAAAGTTAAACTCATGTAAAATACTTACTAGTTAATAAACTTAAAGGTTAATCATGATAGGACTTATTTCATAGTAATCATAATTAAATATACATATTACTCCCTATTATCAAGTCAATGTTACCCTAAATTCGACGGTTGAGCGTAGGGTTAACAGCGTCTTTGAGAAAGTATCTTGTTAAAATGTTTATAAAAATGTGATAGTAGCAAAATACATTATGGCTTCCCAGAGCATTAATTTCATAGGAGATAGAATTAGTTGTTAAAGCATTTTTGGCTAGTTTATCTACATATTCATTGTATAGATTATTGCTATGTACTTTTACTTTAGTAAAGCTTAACTGAACATTTTTTGAAAAAATGACTTTAAATAGAGCATGCCAGAGAATATGACCATCGATTTTAGATGTTGGATTGTAGATCGGAGATGTTATCAGGATCTGTTTGAAGTGATTGTAATTGTCGTTTTGTTCGATCGACCGACCATCCCAATCAATCAACTCTGAACAGGCCTTATATGTATGATACTGCTGATGGATGCTTTAGTTATGCAGGCATATCAAAAAAATTCAGTCAAAAATATTAATCTTTTTTTTGTTAAATTTTTTTGGAAATCTTGATACTAGTAAATTTACTTAATTATAAAGATAATTTTCAAATTTTCAATACGAGTTAAAAAATAAAATAAAAAAAAGGTAATTATTATTATATGTAACCGGATATTTGGAAAATGATATGTTATTTGTCGTATGGAATCGAATGTGAGAATTATCGGTCTGTATCATTAGTTAAGGGATAGATATTATTTATCGCTTATAAATAGTAAAATAATAATTCTTAATAGTTATTATTTACACCCAACATATCGTTCGTTTATTTCAAACAAATCAAAGCATTCATCAAAAAACAAATACAACTTCTCGTCTAAAGGCAGTTTTCTTGTTAAATATCAACATTGTCATAATTTATTTTCTTATTAATTGAAATTTTTTAACACTCTCAATCTCTCTCTCCGCATTATGTGGGTTTATATATTAAAAACTCAAAAGGAAAACTTAATTTTTGGTATATGATTAAAAGAATTCTAAAGGACGAATAGAAAGAAAGTAATAAATAAAAATCGATAAAAATAAGAATTGCCGAAGGTTAAATTATGTAGCCATTACGATTAAGAAAAATGTTATGAAAGAAAATTAAAAAGATTCTACAATTCTAGATTGTAATTTCGTTTGAACATTTTTGACAGTTTTCATTCGTTGGCTACATTTTTCGAATTACTGGTGAAAAATAAAAAGTAATATGATTAATATACAAGTTAGGGACAAATGTAATAAACTTTCGTAAATTTAAATTAACCGCTAAAAATTTTGTAACTTGTTGACTCTTTTTTTTTTTAAAAAGAAAAATGACTTTTCGGTGGTTTCTTGCAAGATTTATGACTGCTTTTATAATTAAGGAAAGCTTTAATCAGCAGCTCTATCATACAAGCAAAAACAATATGACAGAAGTCAGTGGTCCAAAGGTTTTCGTATGTTCTTGAAAATTTGTTTTTATCCAATCGGAAAATTTACAATATCTTAATTTAAGCTTTTATTATTTTGTTGCTAAATTAAAAAAAAAATGAGACTTGAAAGTTTAAAAAAAAAACATGTATGGCGTCATTCTTTAGAAGAAATCTAAAAATAATTCACAAATTAAAATTGCTAGAAAATAGTTAACATATGCACCGTAAACAAAACCTACATCACATGTTATTGATTCATTTGTCTTATCAGAAGGTCAAATGATAAGATAGATAAAAACTACTCACATTAAAGTTGGATCCACTGATTCCGGTTTTAAGATGCAAAGGTTTTATCTATATAGCTGATTCCGGAGATATACAAATTTTAGCTTCACTTTTAACATGTCGGTGGTACAAAAACCGTAGATCTGCGACAATTTTGCCTTTTGCTATCAGCTGATCTGAACCTGGAAATTCATTGAAAGCGCTTTTTTTTTGATTCCATATGCATATGGGCGTTGTTTCAATGCAGTACCAATTATTTTATTAAAAAAAAAATAAAGTAAAAGTAAGCTAACAAAGAAAATATGTAAGTTAAAAATGTTTGCATCTCCTTTATAATAATAAACATAAATGAACAGCATTTTTTAAAAATAATAAAAACAATAATATTAAAACAAAGGATTATGCAAACGTAAATGTTGTATCAACTCTCCGGTTTGAATTTGTTAGCACAAAGTTAGAATATTTTTTTTATTTTGTTTATTCGATAAATTAAATTGTGATTGTTTAATGGCGTTTTGTTCAATAGAAAATGGGGTAAGATAATCAGCAAATATTTCTATGAAATTTCCAAATTAATGAAATATATAGACCTAAATAAATAATCAACTAGTACGATAAAATGTTTCATATAAATATTTGATATTTGATATGATCTCATCCTTTGTATAGAAAATAAAAAAGCCACTTTATTTCTTGCATATTCCATTCATTCACTTTCCTTTTTTATGGTTATTAAAAACATATGAATTAAAAATTAGGTAACACGGCTTGATATACATCCTGTTCTAAAAAAGAAAGGTTCTCTCTAAACGTATCATGACTAATTTTTCTGGAACTGTTTGAAAGAAAATGATTGATAATATAAGCAGTTACATAAGAATTGTGTAAATTTAATATATGAGAGGTTTGCTAGGAAAATGGGGTTCTGTGAATTTTTTTAAAATGCAATATCCCAGAACCTAAGAACCCTATTTCCCTAGCAAACCCCCATATATTTTAAGTTATTGTGACATCGTATGTAATCATCACGAATAATGTTTCGGATTATATTATGAATAAATGCGAAACCTATGGTAATTTAAAATTCATGTCAGGAACATAAAAAGTCTAAAATCAGATAATTAATGCAATGAACATTATGCAAATTACTTTAAAAAGGTGCCCTGATAAAGAACAAATATTTTGTGGGCTGAAATATTAAACATTTCAATTGTTATTTAGGGGCAATTGTGTGACGGGTATCGGCAAAAATTTAACCCTTATCAGATATACATGTATTTAAGGATTCGCTTCCTTTTTTTTTTTGCTTTTTAAAAAAAAAACTCAAGTAAAAAAAATATATATATTCATAAAAAGATATTATTGACCCTAATAAACAAATTATTTCTTTTTCTTTAATCACAAATCAAATATGACAATACAAGCTCAATCCCTACTGATATCATTATCGAAGCGAAGTTTCCACTTCACTATCATCAGCTTTAATAAGATGACATCTATTATAAACATTTTGAAAAAATTTATTGCATACACACAAACTTTATTGCATACACGCAAACATGTATGCGAAAAAAAAGTTCTCTAAGAGAACAAAAAAATATAAGTTTCAATTTATTACTCCAAAAGATGGAGTAATCTATTGAAACTTCAAATTGTTTTAAAAAAAATATATACTACATTTAAATATCCTTTTGTTCGAAAAATCTACGTCTTAATTAAGCCGCAGTATTGCGACGACTATGGAAATCATACATGCTGTTTTATTAATTTAATTATTTCTTTAATTTTTATTACAATTTATTTTATTTGTACATGTATTATTTTCATTATTTATTATTACATAAATGTGTAATATATTACTTTTTAATTAAAGAATTGTTCAGTCCGCTTGTAATAAAATAAGTCTTGGTGATGATAGTCTTATGGGTTCTAATACTAAATAAATAAAAATAATATATTACACATTCCTACCTTCCTCTTGTCCTCATATAGATTCCGCTTGTGATAACCAACTACACAACTGAATTGTAATAAAATCGTTATTTGTTGATTAACACCGGAATTGCATGATTTTTTTCTTCCCTTTTTTATGTAAAAAGAGAAAAATATAACAATAAGTTATTTTCTTAAAATAAAGAATTTCTACGGTATGCTTATCTTTTAATGAATATTTTGTATAAAGGGACCTGTATGATTTTATCACGTGATTTACAAAGCAAAACTTAACCAATTAATATTACAAAATAGCATTACGTAATAAATTTGAGGTTTTTTGAAAATGGTAATTTATTATTTACATAACAATAATTAATAATAATAAAAAACGAATATGGATATATTGGAGCCATTGATTATAATTATAAAAAGAATAATATATTGATAAAAAAACCAAAAAAACTTGACTTATTTAGTAAATTTACTTTATTTTTTTTTTAAAGTAAAGCGTTCGTTTGGTTCTCGACGAAAGTTGTAAAATTACTGATATTACTAATGTGACTGACACGTTGAGAAAATGTCTAGGAAATTATTGGAGAAGACTGGGAAAGAGGTATGAGGAAATGGATCTTTCGTAATGATACCAAATGATTTTATGATGGAAATGCTTGGCTATATTTTCTCGTGGAATTGACGAAAGGTTAAAGGAATATCAAAATTTCGGAGGAGAGGAGACGTAAGTTATTGTCCGTAAATACAGTTGAAATCGAACATAGTTTTGGTCTCAAACACAACAGGAACGACCGATCTCACAAATAGACCGAACACCGTGCATCTATTTAAAGGATGACAACAACTTTACCGAAAATACACAATATCCAGCTCCTGTTGTACTACCAGGCAGTGTTGTCATAGGACATTTTTGGGACATGGCCTGGGACATTGGGACTTAATGTGGGACATTTTGGGACATAGTGTGGGACAGTCTCAAAATGTTTGGGACATCGAAAATGTACATCACTGCTACCAGGGATAATGACTCCTCTGCTGCGCCACAATACATTCTACCTACGCAGTGATTATTGTTAAGATTATCACGAATCGATAACTATTTCTCCCCGGGACTAACACAACAATATTATCATCTTGTCTGGAAAACCATCTCAACGTCAATCATGACAATAGAAGCACATCATTCTTGAATTTCCAGCAATCTGATGCTGTTGATAATACCCAGTTTAACTAGACGGTTCGGAAAGTACTTTCTAGTATAATATTTAATAATTCTTTCTCGGATCACGTATCGGTTTGGGAGAAGCTCCATATTTTCATCCTACGACCACAAAATTGTGCAACATATGTGATAATCGAAACTTCTAATATTCATAATGAATCGATTTTTTATTTTATAAATATATAAGAGACATTGAAAGCAAGATCTTTTATGTTGAACGAAAATAAATATTTTGTTGAGAACAGATTAAAGGAAGTTGAGTAAGAGAGAATGTGCTTTTTCATGCTACTAATTAGTATTATTTAGAAAAAATAATTCTTTATTTTATATTTTTTTCTATTTATAATTTATCATTACAAATTTTTCATTGTAAAATAGACAACTGAAAACGAGGATGAATTATATGATTTAGGTATGGCTGAGCCCATTTTTTCTAATAATATGTATTGTTAATTTGATACATCGGAAGGAAAATGACGGGATCATTTGATATATGTGATTAGGGCTCTGGAACCGATTCAGATTTTGAATCTCCTGAGTTTTTAAAAATAGAACGAGCCGATTCATATGCTAAAAACTAATCATTTTATTATAAAATTGATTTTAGTTTAATGTGACACATATAAAGATTATACCAAATTTAGTATATTAAAAAAAAAGAATTAACCTTCCCTTGTTTTACAGTTCCACAAGATATTTTATGATTTATTCAATAGATTATTATTGTATAAATTTCGGCTTTAAACTTTATTTTCGAGAGAAAACAGTTAGATATACGATGTAATTATTATGTTACATTAATAAATAAATCCAAGTTTGATATTTACTTTTTAAAGAAAACTCATGATAATAATAATATTCACTCCTGATCGCTTATATCGGAAGTGATACAGAAGAACTTGAATATTACAGAACCAATAAAGTTAAGACTTGCATATAATAATTATGTATAAAAAATTGGAAGCTATCAAACGAAAAATTCTGTGCACAAAAAATATATTTATACTTCTATAAACTTCAAATCATTTTCGTAGTATTTTTTTACTGTAGTTCTTGTTGGATACTTTTGAACTTTAAAATTTACACGTCACCTGAAAGTAAAAAATCATAAATTTTCCGAAAGAAACATGATCGATATGTGAAAGGGGGCAGGCAGTTACACTTAGGTATTTGATATTCCGTATATTCGATTTGTATAGAAGAACTAAGGTAAGACTTTCAAATCGGAATTACGGACTGGCGAAGTTCTTTGTTTATAAATAAAAAAAAATTTACGAAAACAACATTTGATTATTTAAATCTTTGTTTTAAAGAAATAAATGAAAAAAAAATTACAATATAATATAACGTCGTGTACTATACCAAGTTCCTGCGGGACACAACAAATTTCAATTTTTTTTTTTTCATTAATAAAGAACAACGAATTTGTTCTGTAACTCAATTCATAAAGCCAAAGCCAAAAACGGGTGTGTACAAATAAGTTTAGATCTGCGCAATCACTCATTCGATCGAGAGTATGAGAAGATACTTCAGACTTTTTGAGGGAGAAAATATTTATTATGCCTTCAGCTTACAAGATAATATGTAGATCTATTATACAAATGGAAGCTTAATCAACAGAAAAATGGATTAGAAATATAACTTAGAACGTTTGGAAAATATAGTAGCATTTTGGTTGAGAGTGTTTGTGGAAAACAAGTAGCTTTACACAGAGCATATGAAGAAACGAACTTAACAACCCACTTGCAAGGCGGTTGCAACTTAAAATATAAGCAGCCTGGAATAACTAGCTTCTTTAGTATGCTAGTAAATCAGACAGTTCTCAAAACTGATGAATCTGAAATGATGCCTGTGAAAGGAAACCTTGTTTATCAGGTGGAAAATACCAATAATATATTGAACGAACCCTAGTAGAATGTGACGACGTGCAGCCAAAGATTTATTTCCTGTAGTATCTAACTTTCAGTCTAAATATCTATCTAAAGAACAAACAACAGAATTCAACAGACAATATCGTGCGGAAGCAAAATAGACTGTTGATCAGATTGGTAATTACTGAAATGTTTGATTGACTATGATGATTCTTAATGAATAATTTTCAATTTTTCAATAGCAATGTGTGTTTGATCTACGAGCTGTGAAAAATTTCACAGAACAAGATATCTGTAATGCATGTTTAGCATTGAAGGATAACAATAGGTTCTAAAGTCGCGTTGCATGCATGTCCAACACCTAAGTTTGAGAATTGAAAATATTTTCCAAAATACTATTTCAAAACAAATGCGCTTGTCAATTATCTTCAATATAATTATGTACAAGAATTACATAAGTTACTAACCGATACATCAGAAGATTTAGATTCTGATTCTGCATTTTAGCAAAAATTCACAAGTAAAGCAAGCAAGGCACATTTAACAAAAACCTGTTTCAAAGGAATTTATCAGATAATGCTTCATGTTGTTAAAGCATTAGAAGTAAATAAAGGAAAATAAGGTCTTCATTACTATCTTGAGTTTGCAAATTTTCTCGTTATTCTCAGAAGTATATCTCTAAAGTCATTGGATCATTTTCGGCAAAATCTTGAGAAGCAATCTTTACGAAGTATTAGATATGAATTTTTTATTAGTCTATTTATAATATGCATATATACTTATTTTAAAAATAAATACTATATGTTTAACCAGATATCTTCAAAATAATTCTGAAGAAAAATTAGCAGATCCAGATGTGTTATGAAAAAGTTGCACATTTCAAGCGATTATTATACTCTCAAATATGATGGTCTAATCACTGCAATAACAGATAATACTAAATTGAAATCTGGTCTTTAATATTCTGCATAATTTGGTTGTATTGTTGGTTCTTCATCACAATAAAAAGAAATAAACTCAATTAAATAATTATGATGATATTCTTATAAATAATATTAAGAAAAAAAACCTATTGCGAAAGAAGTTAGAGCCTATTTGTTACAAGTAAGAATACTTGTTATGACATTTATTTTTAGTTAATTACAATCATTAAATAAAGCATTTTATTTTAGATTCTACTTTCTACATTTACTCCAGTAATAATTGCTTTGATTTCACATATTAGTTCTGAAATAAAATGTTATTGTTACATTTCAACTTAAACAATTAATTGATATTACTCTACAACTAGACCTTCACATAATTTCTGTTTGCTTTGATAGAACACTGATCAAATTTTAAGCTCAAACAGCTATACAAAAATTTTTTACATTAAATCGATTTTCTGTTCATCACAAAAAAAAATGTAATTTATTTTAACTATCTTATCTTTCTAAATGTTGGGCCAGTTATCCATATGAAAGACCTTAATCATGAAAAAAGAATCTGCATATCTGATATAAAGTTATTAAGTTTTAGAAATTCAACAGTACATTATAAACAATTGTTTACTTTTTATCAACAATCAGAAAGTATTTAATATAAATAAGATATAATCAAACTTGATCTGCAAGATAATATCAAAAGATTTATATTATTTAAATTTATTTTGATATATTTTTAAAATATTTTTAAAATTATTTTGTAATTAATAATAAATAATTTAGTAATTTTAATATAATTAATTTGAAATTTTATTAATATACTTTTGTAATTATATTAAAACAATATTATTTAAACTGCTATATAATAAAATGAATTATAAATATAATATATGAAAGGTAAAATAAACATTGAATAATTTTTTTGTGAAATTTTATGTAATTACTTTTAGTATGTAAACTAGAGTTTCAAATAAGCTGAGCTAACTTTCAAGTCAAATGAGTTGAGTCAAGGGTAGTCAAGTCAAATCAATAAAATTTGATTCGTTTAACTTGAGTCAAGTTTTAAGTTAAGCTTGAATTGACTTGAAAAAACTTAAGCTAAACTCAAGCTCAAAATCAAGCCTAAAGTCAAGTAAAACTTGAACTTAAAGTCAAGCTGAACTCAAGTAAAAATTTAAAAATTTTTTTAAAAGAAGTATAAAAAATCATTCAAATAGAATGATATACATCATTCTAAAAAAACAATAGAAGTTTTATTCTAATAGAACAATAAATTATCGTTCTAAAGGAATAATAAAAAAATTATTCTAATAGAACTATAGTATATCATTCTTAGAAAATGATAGAAGGATCATTGTAATAGAATCATTTTATTTATAATTCTAATAAAATAATGCATTATCATTCTAAAGGAACGATATTATTTATTATTCTGATAAAATGATATAATATCATTCTAAAGGAATAATATTATTTATTATTCTGATAGAACAATACATAATTGTTTTAAAGGAATGATTTTATTTATTTCTAATAGAATGATGTATAAACATTCTAAAAAAAAGGATTTTATTTATTGTTCTAATAGAATGATTTTTATTATTCTATCAGAATAATTCTTAGATTGTTTCTTTAAAATAATGCATAATTCTTTTATTAAAATGATTTTATTTATCGTTTTAATAGAATGATGCATAGTCATTCTATCAGAATGATGTTATTTATTGTTTTTTAGAATAATGCATATTGTTCTATCATTCTATCATTTCTTTAGAATGATATTTAATTGTTCTATTAGAATGATATTATTTATCATTCTATTTGAATGATTCTTCTATCATTCTTTTAGAATAATACATTATCATTTAATCAGAACAAATTATCCTTCGCATTTTTATTTACTAAATAATTCAAGTCAAATCAAGTTAAGATTTAAAAATTTTTGACTTGACTTGATTCAACTCAATTTTTTTGAGTTGAGTTGAGTTTGACAAAAACTCATTCAATCTGTTTTATTTAGAACTCTAATGTAAACAATAAAATAAAGTTATTTATAATAATTTGTATTACATCTCTAGTTAAAAATAACTTTATTTTGATTAAAAAAGCATTGTTTATTTTGTTTATTTTTAATTTAAATTTGTAAAATTTTTCAAATTTTTCACATTTTTTCAAAATCATAAACCTTGGAAAAAAAATCACTTTAAATGTAAAAAACTTAGTATCACTTAAGAAAATTTGCAAAAATTGCTGAATATTCTCAACCAACAGTTTTCCAAATTTTAAAATCAAATAACCAAATTATTAACAAAAATCAGGGTATTTCCAAATTATGACTAAGAAAAAACATAAAATGCTAGTAAAGGCTGTTTTAATAATAAAAATTTTAGATTCCAAAACTTAAAAAGATTTACAAACTTTTTTTTAAAATAAAATAGAGATATCAAAGTATTTAAACAAACCATTTAAAAAAGCATTAAAAGCAGAAGGTATTCAATCATGCATATCACATTCAAAACTATTGATTTTTCTTATAAATTAATTCAAAAGACTTGCTTTTGTAAAATAACATCAAAATTATACAATAGCTGATTAAAGAAAAGTAATTTAGTCTGATGAATCTACTTTCTTTCAACTTTAAATATCAAGATAGAATAGAATTTGACAAATATTTGATAAAGAACTTAACAAAAATTGCATCACTATAATTATGAAATACAATCCTAAATAAATGTTTATAGTTGTTTTTATAGTTTAGTTTTAGTCCTATTATTCCATTAGATATCTCTGTTACTGATAAAATATATCATGAAATACTAGAATTATATGCTATTCTAACTTTTAAAGCACAAGCTTAAAAGGTTAAAAAATTTGTCTTCCAAAAAGACAATATACCAGTACATATAGCAAAAGTTACATGAGATTTTCTTAATTCATATAATATAAAAATTTTGCCATAGTCACATTAAAGCCTGACTTTAATCTTATTACAGCTAATTTCATAATTCATTGACCATTAATAATTTTTTAGTCGCATTCAGTCGTAATATTTTCTAGTAATTTTATTATAAAATATTTTCAATCGCATTCAGTCGCAATTTATTAGTGATTCACAAATTATGAAATTAGCTATAAGGAACTTTGGTTAATTATTAACACAGATTGAATACTGATAAATCAGGTACCTTCCCAATTGGTCACTATTTTTTGATTAGCAATCAATAGATAGAAATTAGTAGATACTATAATCGGGTATGAATCAGTTAATAGCATAATCATAATTATTAGATAGAATTATATAAATTAGTTTCCAACCTGATTTTATACTTATTTTAAAAAATTTATAACTTTATGTTAAATAGTAACAAATCAGGTTCAATTAATAATTAGTTATCAATCAATTTAATACTTGATTGATGATTATTATTTAATTAGAATTTACTGATTGGTAACAATTTGCCAATAAGTCACATTAATAAGATTTGTTAACAATCTGTAATGAAATTCATTAATGGTTCGCTATGACGATTTGTCATGAAATTTGTTATAATGATTCATTAATGAATCCGTAATATGATTCATTACAATTTCATTAAACAAATCTGGTTAACGATTCATTTCAGATTTTCGTTAACAAATCTGTATAATAATTTATTAGGAAAAACCTATTATAATATTAAAAATATATATATATTATTTAATGATTAAAAACTATTATTATTATATTTCCAACATAATTTATGTAAACTTAAAACAATATATAAATTTTATTATAAAAATATTATTTGTTTGATAACTAATTTTAATATATTTAAAATTAATATAATTAGTAAGTAAAATTCCTTTTAAATTTGAAAAGAAACCCATTGAATGAATAATATCAAATTCAAATTTATTGTGTTAATATTTAAGGCATCTTATGATGTAATGTTTGTTGTAAGTATATATCCCTTCACCTAACACTGAAATAACATTTTTTATTTGCTTGTTTACTAGAAGATGCCAAATCATATAATTCCAAATTAATGATATACAAATATCAATAATCATGAATTAATAATATTATTAATCTAAAAGATTACCTGTCCCTAAAATTTTAAAGAAGAAAAATTGACTTAAATGGATTTAATATAGAAGCTACATTAGAAAGACTTGTACTTGTAGTAACATCTTAATTAATAAAAATCAAAAAGTAATCAAAATATAAAATTATCATTGTTTTAATTTTATCTCAAATTCTTTGGAAAAAGATGTAATATTTAACTGATTTTTCATCTTTATTAAATCCATTTAATGAACTAATCAAGAAAGTAAAATATTTACTATCCATAATGTATAAATGCATAGAATAATATGCTCTTTTTTTATTATTATCAAACATATTTATATTTTATGTAAAACCTTATTAGAATATCAATTTAAACATTATATTAGCGTAAATAATTTTATGATTATAATATATGTAATATCATATACTATATATACTATTCTACCAGAAATATTCACTTTAATTAAAACTGTTCTAGTAATTATAAATATTATTATTTAACTTACAGTATAACAGAATGTTCTATTGTTTAAAGAATTCTCAAATATTTGTGACAATTGTAAAATATTTATGATAAATAGAAGAAATTATTTTATTATGCATCTATTAAAAACTCAATAGGATCTCAAATTATGCATAATATATGTAATTATATGCTTATTCTCATTCATTAGTCCTAATTAGGGATGTGCAGTCCAGTTACTATTCTGATAACTAGTCCTTAAAACTGTGAAAAAACTAAACTGATTTATATGACCAGTTCAACTATCAATTTCTTTTATAAGCAAACAATTTTTAATAAGTTGTAAAAGCTTTAAAATAAAGCTTGCAGCAAATAAACAACTGGTTTGATATTAGCGAAATGTAAAAAAAGATTTGTATAAAACTAAATATATATTAAACATATAATAATTACATTGTTGATTTGTATGATAAAATTGAAGATAAGTCAAATCAGCCCATATAGGTAATAAATTTATTAGTAAAAGGAATTCAAGTGAACAAACTCCTGCATAATTATATATAGTTAGACATTAATTGTATTTAATGTAATAATATATATTGTTTAATCAATAATAATAAATTTCTATATCAGTAATAAATTTATTAGCGAAAGGAATTCAAGTAGACAAACTCCTGTGTAATTATATATTAGTTGAATATTAATCGTGTTTAATATGACAATACATAATATTTAATTAAAAATAATAAATTTTTATATCGGTAATAAATTAATTAATCTAAAGAACAAATATGAATGAAAATATATATCATTTCAAATGTCTTTTCTTAATACATTTAATTGATTTGTATAGTACATTGACATATTATCATTTTAATTAATGTGATCAAAAAAAATCATAATAGGAAAAATATTTGTTTCAAATGATTTTTTCTTAATATAATAATTAATATGTATTATCATATTAATTAATGTGATCAAAAAAAATTAATAATCTTCTTAAATCATAAACAAGGAAAAATTAATTATAATAAAAGAACTTAGAAAATAAAGGTATTATTTGAGAATATAAAAATATACATAATATGATTTAATAAATTTGTTCAAAAAAATCTTTTCTATCTTTTCTTTATTAAACTTTTCTAAAACACAAAATTTAATAATATCAATTTATACAAAAATATAGCTAGAATAGTTTGGACTTTTGATGTAAAAAAATATTTAATCAATCTTCGTAATAAATATCACGAAGAATTTGAAAATGCTCTGAACACTGAGCATGCTACTATCTGGAATGGAATAGTAACTGAAATAAATAATCATCATCCAGCTCAAGTTACTAGCAGATAATACTAAGTAAAGTGGGTTGCGTTAGTTTACAATTATGAAAACTCTAGAAGGATAAGTTGAAAATTCAGAAGGATTTCTAATAAGAAATCCAAATCGATTCAATATAGCATTTTACCATTTAATAAGAGATGAATTTTAGTTGCTCAAGATATTAATGATAGTTTAATTTAAATTTATTGTTTATTTTAAATAAATATATATTTATATTATTTTACTTTTAAATAAAATAAGATGTGCATATTTAAGATAATGAATCAATAGATATCAATTTGAATTTAGAGAACATAGGCATTCTCAGAAATGATCAAGAAGTAAAAGTAGAGAATGTATGTATTTTTAGGATCAATCAAGAAGTAGAAGTAGAGAACACAGGCGTTCTCAAGATCGATTAAGAAGTAAAAATTAATTTTAAGAAAGGAATAAAAGAAGGAATCAATCTCATAGAAGAAGGAGAAAATGAAATTAAATTTTATTTTTATTATACTATTTTTCATTTTAGTTTAGTATATTATTTTTTTATTTTTGGTTTTATTATTATTTTTATTTTATATATATATATTTTTTAAATTTGAGTAGCAAGACCCAGTTTGTATCAAATATCAGCTGGACACTCATTTTTTAGGCTGTGAATTGGTACTGACATTCTCGTCATATAACCTGAATTCTATTTTTTAAAAAATACAATCAAATCTTGATATAGCGAACCCTTGATATAGCGAATTTTTTAAAATTACCATACTATAGCAAACTAGCCAATTAAATTCTTTAAAAAATTTGTTATAAGCTTATAACGAAGTTGATTCAGATCCTAGAATTCATTATATTAAGAGTTTACTGTATAGTGTGTTTCACATAAAGAAATCAAGTATTTATTGTATGTTTCAAATTTCAAAATTTTTATAGTCACATGATAAGCATAATACCGATTTGTGATTGATTAAAATTTATATTACATGATAAAATAATTTAATAAATTTAAAGTTTAAAATCTGATTAAATTTAAATTGAGAGAAAAACTTTATTTTATTAATTTATCAATATTTTTAAAAACAAAATCTGAAACAGTTCTATGTGATTTATATTTTTTAAAACATATACAGCTTGTAAACCTGTTAATCCTTTTCTATAGTATTCCATAATTTAGCTGATTTTTGAGCATATTTACGTATATGACTTAAAAAAACTGAATCTAATGCTTTTGGAACTGTTTCTTGTAATCCTTTTCATGTATAATTGCAGTATTGTCGAGTATATCTTTTTGCAACTCCCTAATATATCTCAATATAATTAAGTTCACAATAGAATTTTGGATAAAAAATTACTTTATGTTCAAATTCTTAATAATTTCTTGTAATAATGGTTTTTGATTACAAAAACCTTCTTAAGCAGCTAAAACATGATGTGTACAACATCTTAAATTTTTTAATGATATATTATTTTTACCACAGAAAACTTTAATTCAGACCCCCATAAATTATGCTCTTGTAAAATTATTTTCATTCCTTTAGGCTTTTCACGAAATAATTCATCAGGATAATCAGAAGGAAATACCATAGTTTAAACCTGACCATTAAATATTGTATCACGTATAATTGGCTGCTTATCATCATGATTAAGATTTATATTTGTTGCATTAAGGATATCATCAGCCAGTTTTGCATGACTAGAAGAATTGTCAAAAGCAAATACAGTAATCATACCCAGATGCATTTTCTTAAAAATTGGTATTGCTCGAGTTTTAATCTAATAATATATTTATTTAATTAATAATTTAGATAATTGAACATATTAATATTAATTTATTATAATAAAAAAAAAATACCTGATCAATTAATTAATCAATATTCCACCATCTATCAAATTTTTTCCAGGATTAATTATAATATGAGATTCACTTGGAATTAAATTATCAGTTTCTTCTTCATTTAATTTTAATCTTCCAATTGTATTGGTTAAAAAATTATTAATATGAATGGTTCTTCCTTTACCTTTTTTACGCAAAAATTGTTTATTTTTAGGTCTTCAACCTGATTTTTATCCATCATTTAATTGAAAGGTTGTTTCATCATGAGTAACAAGAACATGTAATTTTTGTCCACTTTCTAATTCTAGATTGATTTTAATTTCAAGCTTATCACCAATAAATTTTGGTATTAATTTTTGATAACTATAAAATTATATATACATAGACATAAATATAAAAAAGAATAACATGTAAATAAATTAAATAAAGTAAAGAAAGTAAATTTGTTACATAGACATAATTTTAAGAAATTCCTTTCGATAAGCAATAACATCATCTCTTTCATGACCATCAATATACATTTCTTTTGTATATTGACTAAAAACAAATCCCATTTTTTTTAACTATCAAATTGCTGTGGATTTGCTATAAATATAAAAATTTTAGTAAAATATATATTAAAAAAAAATTTATAAATATAAATATAATAAAATAAATACTTGATTTTAGTTTTGTTTTCTATACCAACAGAAGGTAAGATTTCATTGGCAATGTAATCACAAAAACTGATAACAGTTATATCAAATTTATGTTGTTGTAAATATAGTGCTACTTTTAATTAAATATTCTTATTATTAAGGATACTGCTTTTCTTAAGATGTTTTTCACGATTACTATTAGAAACATTATCATATTCAATAAATGCTTTAGTCTAACTTCTAATGCATATTTTTTTTGCAAAATTAATTTGAAATGTTTGATAATGAGAAAAATATTATTCTTTTATATTCACAAAATCATTGATTATATAAATATATTTTTCTAATATTTAATTATTTCCACGTCATTAAAATTGAAAAACTGAAATCATTGCAATTAAAATCTCATTCATCTCATATTTTCCACATTATTGCAATTGAAAATCTTTATTATTGCAATTAAAATCTTATTCATCTCATACTTTTTCACGTCATTGTAATTGAAAAATGATTATTAAACAAAAATGTGTTAAAACTGCGTAATAAAAATAGAAATTAGATAATATAAATTAAAAATAAGGTTTTTTATGCTATAAAACTTAAAATTTATTTACCTTAATATTATTGCGGTAAATTATTAATAAAAAACCAAAAGTCATAATAAAGTAACGGTTAAGTCAGAAAACTTATTTAATACTATTTTTTATGATAAAATTTTATCAATTTATAAAGTGAAAATTTTTTATTTATTACTACTTTTTTATATCAATTAAAGGATTTTTTTTTAGTTTTTTTACCATTTTATATAATACAAAATTATATATTGCAGTTTCATGATAATTTTCTAATTAATTAAAATTACAAAACTAACCTTTTGAATATAACATTATTCTAGCTGTTTTTACGTATAATCGATTTCTTTTTATTGTTAAAATGTTTCCTGCTAATGAATTTGTTATATTTTAGAACAAAAAAAAATACCATAAAAAAATTTTAATATCTTTTATAATTTATGTAACTCTAAATGTAATACAGCATTTAGCCTTTGTGCACAGTCTTTCATAACCTTTGTATAAACTGGTCTGAAGCAACAAAAAGTGAAATATTTAGTATACTTATTATAAATAGATAAAAATTAACATTTTCTAATAGCTCTTTAACTATTTCTTCATCATTAAATCCATTTTATTGCAGTTCTAAAAATTTTTTATATACTTTATTGATCACAGCCGAATATGTTAATTGTATTGAAGAAATACCTGTTACTTCACAACTGTAATCTGGTAATAGCTTAATTAGAACACTTTCAACAATCTGAACTGTAAATAATTGAGCATTTAACTCTACTCCTATACGCATACCAAGATGAATATGAATAATATTTTTTTGCTGAAAAGTTTACCAATTTCGTACAAATATTCTATAGTGGTATTTGTCCACTATTAACCCTCTAGCTAATAATTTTGTGTATATGAATGCATTTTTAACATAAGAATATTGACATTCAAGAATGGTGGTTAAATTATAAGAAATTATAACCCATAAATGTTATATTGCTGATTATTTCTTTTTAAGTATATTACGAATTAAAATATCTTATAATTAAGAAGATGCAGTATTACAAACTTAATTAAGGAGTTGATTTGATCATACTCTATTTTATCAATCTAAATAATCTTTTTTTAAAAACATACAAATTTAGCAATGCATTTATTTTGAGTTTTTTTAAATAAATATCAACATATTTAATGTGATTAATTTTTTAGTTAAAACATTCATGTAACAAATATAAAAAGAAAGCCTTTAGACATCCTTTTTTCTTTTTAATTTTATAAAATACTAGATTATTTATCTCTTGAAAAAAGTGTCAGGATTTTTATTCTATTTGAAGAGAGATATCCTTCTTACTATATTGCTTCTAAAGAAAATGTTTTTTAGTCAACATCTAAGAATTAAGTAACAAAAAGATACCTATGGTATCTTTAAAAATCTGGCAAAATCTGAACATCCTAAATATTTGACAGGTTGAAATAAATGAAATATTTTATGTTTTATTTTATCAGAAAAATATACAAATGCAGTTGCAATTCAAAAAAAGCTAAAAACTAAAGACAAAATTAAAGTTAATAAAAGTATAATAAAGTAAATCTTACATCAAAATAGATTAAGCTCAAGAGTTAAATATAAAAAGCTTTACTTCAAAAAAAAGTATAGAATTTGCTCATATAAAATTTGCAAAAAAATATCAATCATAAATAGTAGAAGATTGAAATAAAGTTATCTACTCAAATGAGTCAAAATTATGATTTATGAGTCAGATAGTAAAGAATTTTGTTAGAAAAAACAAAAATGAACTATTATGCAATTATTATGTTAAATCAACAGTTAAATTTGGGTAGGTAATATTATGATATAAGATGTTTTACTTTTGAAAGAGTTGGTAATATATGCTAAATTTATAAATATATAAATATTAATTTATATCACTAAATTTTAAAGGAAGACATTTTAGAAACCATTGAATAGTATAGAATAGGTAAAGATAATATTGTCTTTTAATAAGATAATGATCCTAAATATATTGCAGATCTTACTAAGCTATGGTTTGAAGATAATAGAATTAAAGTTTTTGATTAGCCAATATAGTTCTCTAACTTAAACCCAATAGAATACTTTTTGAATAAAATAGATTATCATTTAAGACTTGAAATATCTGTTAGAACATAGGATTAGTTGTAAGATATAATTCAAAAAATTTAGATTGAATTGGAGTCTGTTGTATGCAAAAAGTTGATTAATACTATATTACTGTATACTTTCGAAATTAAGCACCCCTTTTTACTATGGGGGTGCTTAATTTTGAATAGTTTTTTTAAAAAAATTTTCTCTTCGAAATTGCGTTGCCAAAATGATATTTGAAACTATGCAAAATGATTATCCTGTGCAACCAAATAATCTCATACAACCAAATAATTTATTTCATAACGTAAAACACGTTTTGGTAACCTTCTCATGAAAAATGACAAGAACATGCAAAGTTAATAAAAGTATCAAATGTAATCATGCTTCATATTCTATTACCCAAAAGAATCAAGTAATCACTTACGCTAAGCAGCATGAGTAAAATAAAGTGGCAGACTATTTTCAACTTGATGCTAGTATGGTAAGTCATTAGCTAAAAGCAAGTGAAAATTGGAATACTGAAATAAAACAAGACAGCAAACGAATTGGCTCAAGTCGAAAAGCCTTTTATCCTGAGGCTGAAAATAAGTTGTATACTTGGGTCATTGAGCAAAGAAAACAAGGATTGGCAGTTACTTATACAATCCTACGAGTTAAAATGCAAGAAATTATGGAGACGTCTGAAATGGTAAATTTGTATGGAGATTTGGCAAAAGATTTTAAAATGTCAGATCAATGGCTGTCCTATTTTCTGAAAAGATATAAACTATCTTAGAGGAGATGTACAAAAATTTTCCAAAAGCTTCTGAGTCAAACGGAAAAATTGTTAGTCAAATTCTATCAATTTGTTACCCGTCTGAGAACTGAAAAATCCTTTAAATTGGTCAACATTTTTAATATGAACAAAACACCAGTATGGTTTGACATGGCAGATAACTTTATTGTCAATCTAAATGGGAAGAAAATGGTTTATATTCGTAATACTGGCAATGATAAACCTGATTTACAGTGGTTTTGACATGTGCAGTAGGTAGGTCACAGTAAATGGTTTTTAAGTTCATCATATAAAATTAAATTTAACGAGTTTTATTCTAAGCAAAGTTTTTTTTTAAGCTTTATATTCTAATTTTAAGTTATGGTATTATGATAGTTTCATGATTCTATTTCTAAGATTTTATGATTCAAATTTTAGATTTTATTATAGATCCACATAAATATTTAGTGATTTTAAGCTTATAGTTCCAATTTTCAGACTTATGATGATTTTTAGGCTTATAGCTCTGATTTTTCAGGCTTATAGTTCTAACTTTTAGGCTTACGATTCTGATTTTTAATTAGAGAGTTTGATGTATTTAGGGATATTTCAAACATATTTTTTGTTAATTTCAACGATTCATTTGATTTTCAATAATATTCTTGATTTTCAAATTTTTTATTTTGTTTTATTTAACATTAAATTTTTTTTTACTGTAGATAATACAAAGTTTCCTCTGTTCTGTATCTTTAAAGGGAAGCAATTACAAAAAGATGAAAATATACCCCCAGTGTATTTATTTGGTTTCAAACAAATAGTTGGATGGATTCTAAATTGATGAAACGGTATATTGATTATCTTAAAGATGTCAAAGTGGTTGATAGATCCAGGACTCTAATGTTAATGGTTTACAATTCTTTTCATGGACATCTAGAGGAATCAGTAAAACAGAAATTTCACGATTGCGGATTTGATTTAGCTGTTATATCAGGTGGATTGACAAGTTTATGTCAACTACTCGATGTTGCTATAAATAAACCATTTAAAAATAACTTACGTAAGAAATGGCATCTTTGGATGGCCACTGGTAGTGCTGGATAGACAGCTGTAAGTAATCTTCGACGAGCTAAATTTGGAGACGTATGTGGATAGGTGAAATGTTCTTGAGAGGAAATCTTTACCAAAATGATCATAGATTCTTTCAAGACTTGTGACATTTTTAATACATTAGATAATATAGGAGATTCTGATAAAGAAATTGAGGGTGATTTAGTAATTACTGATATTAGTGATTTGGAAAATAAATAAAATTGCATTTTTCTTTGTTGAACTGTTAATTTCACATGATAATACTTTAAAAATAAAAAAATCATTTATTTTAATTTTTTCAAAGAGTGCTTATTTTTAGCATATTCATGAATTTTGGGAATGTTTAATTTCAGAAGTATATGGTAACTCATATAAATGATGTAATAAAGGCCAATAGCAGCTATATAAAATGGTAAATAATAATTTACCAAAGTTTAATGTAAAAAAAATTTTTATTTTTTTTTGATTTAAAATTTTTAATAAAATATCGGTCAAAAAAAAAGCATTGTATAATTTATATTAAATAAATATTTTTAAAATTTGATTTTATTAATGTGTACTAATTTTTATATTATTAAATAGACTTATTATGAAGAGTCTAAAAAATAAATTTTATAATACTATGCTTTCTAATTCATGAGATATTACAATTTTAAAATTTATGATCAGGTGATACAATATTTTTGATCGTCATTGTATATAATAGAATATTTAGAATTATTATAGATCTAGATCTTATTGAATACTCTATTCCACTAATCGAAATTATTTCTTTTGACACTAATACCTTTCGGTTGACATTCATCTGATTTAGTCATGTGATTTAGCAAAAATTCAGCTTATGTTTAAAATTCAGTACAAAAATTATAACAAATCTACTGTCATTTGTTACACTATATATTATTTAGCATTTTTTCAAAATTAAGACCTTTCAGAAAATATTCAGATGATTCAATATGGCAAAATTTCAGTTATATAACATTAAAATTATAATAAATTGACTGTCGTTTGTTACATTGTATCTAATTTAGCATTATATCAGTCCGGTTTTAGTTTATTATGAAAAATTTATATTACAAAATAAAAGTTAATGAATATGGAATTTACAATTTATCAGATTTATGGCTATATATTCAACGGCATTTTGACAAGTAGAAATTTTATATTTTGCTAATACAAATTAACAAATAATGTGTTGTATTAGAATAATACTGTCACGACCATCAGGAAAAAATTCATTTTTCCATAGTTCAACATTACAAGTTTTTTCATCATCATTAATACTCAAATAATATTGAACTTTATATGTTTCTGCCAGCTTATACCACTGAATAAATGCCAAATTATGTTCTGCCAATCTATTCTCAAAATTGATTATATGCTTAAAAAAATACTGGACTTAACCAGCATAACAGTCAATCTGATTATCTAATGTTATAAAATTCGCTAAAATAAACGAACTTTTCATATGATGAGATGATATTGCTAAGCTAAACATCTCTGAACTAATTCTATACTGACCGAATTTATTTATTGTAACATGACTAAGTATGATCAAATCTTCAGGTCCATCATTGAATGGTGCATTGAAATTGTGTGTTTTACATCACTAGTCGAAATAATTCATTTCGTCACTTTTTTAAAATGCCGAATATTGGCCAAAATATAGTCTAATTTCTGCCGATCATTGCCAAAACAATCAGCATTTTTAGTTATAGCTGAAGTTGCCCATTTTCATGCTACACAAAAAAACATTCAACATTAACGATTGGTAGTTGGTAATTATTTGATATATCACTAGGCAATTCATTACACTTAAAGTGCTGAAAGTTTGCCAAAATATAGTCTAATTCTGCTGATCATTACCAAAAAAGTAGCACTTTGAATAAATAGAAAATCGGATATCAATCAGCATTTATGTTAAAAATTGGTCAAAATTCAGCATAAATCAGCTTAAAATAGGTCAACAATCAGCAAAAATCAATTAAAAAATTAAAACTAATAAAACTCATTTTTTGTTTATTTATGATTTATAATTTATTTTATTATTACATAATAAATTACTCAAAAGAATATATATTGTATTATAATTTATTTAAAAAAGATACATTTGATTTATTAAAGATAAGAAAAATTAAAGAAAAGAGTTAGAAAACCACCAAAATATCACCTCTGAAAGGCTAACCTTAATATATTCCTAAAGAAAGTAAAGAAAAATAAAGAAAACAGTTAGAAAACCACCAAAATATTACTCTGAAAGGCTTACCTTAATATATTCTATAGAAAATAAAGAAAAAATAAAGAAAACAGTTAGAAAACCACCAAAATATCACCTCTGAAAGGCTAACCTTAATGTATTCCTATAGAAAGTAAAGAAAAAATAAAGAAAACAGTTAGAAAACCCACTAAAAACTATCTGCGAAAGGCTTACCTTAATATATTCCTAAAAAAGTAAAGAAAAAATAAAGAAAATAGTTAGAAAATCACCAAAATATCACTTCCGAAAGGCTTACCTTAATGTATTCCTAAAAAGTAAAGAAAAAATAAAGAAAACAGTTAGAAACCCACCAAAATATCACCTCCGAAAGGCTTACCTTAATGTATTCCTAAAAAAAGTAAAGAAAAAATAAAGAAAACAGTTAGAAAACCCACTAAAAACCACCTTTGAAAGGTTTACCTTAATGTGTAAAGAAAAAAATAAAGAAAAAAAGGGTTAAAAATCATCCAAAAGTCACCTCTGAAAGGTTTACCTTAGTTTCGAAAAGAAAAATTTCCTAAAAAAAACAGAGAAAAATAAAGAAAAAAGTGTTAAAATCATCTAAAAGCTACTACCGATTTGCTTACCTTAATTCCCAAAATAATAATTTCCTAAAAACAAGAACAAAGAAAGGAAAATGCTACAAAGGTCACTTCCGATTCGCTTACCTTAATTCCAAAATAAGAATTTCCTAAAAAACAAGAAAAAAGTTAAATTTCCGCCTAAAAATCGCCTCAAAAAAAAAAGGAAGAAATAAATTTTTTCGGAATATTCTGAAAGTTTATCAGTTTTATACTGTAAACTAAACTAAAATTTCAGTTAATCTGAAATTTAGACTATTTATCATAAATGCTACAAATGGATGATTTTGCATCATCCGATTGCAAATCAACTGAACGATGATAAAATCGTTCAAAAGGAACAATATTCGATCATTTCTTATTGTTCGAAAGGAACGATAGTTTGATTATTCCTTAAGAACAATATAGAAAATCGTTCGAAAGGATGATAGTTTGATCATTCCTTAAGAACGATATTGAAAATCGTTCGAAAGGAATGATAATTCGATCATTCCTTAAGAATGATATAAAAAATCGTTCTATTGGAACAATATAAAAAATCATTCTATTAGAACGATAGTTTAATTGTTCCTTAAGAATAATAATAAAAAATCATTGTTCTGAAAGAACGATAAAAAAAATCATCATTTTAAAGGAACGATGATATATCATTCCAATAGAATGATAACAAACATCATTCTTTCAGAACGATGATGAATTATTCTAATAGAACGATAAAAAAATCATTCCAAAAGAACGATGATGAATCGTTCTAATAGAATGATGAAAAAATCATTCTGAAAGAACGATGATGAATCGTTCCAATAGAATGATGAAAAAACATCATTCTTTCAGAACGATGAAGTATCGTTCTGAAAGAACGATAAAAAAACATCGTTCTTTTTGGAACGATGATGTATTGTTCCTTTAGGGACGATTTCTATCGTTTCTTTGGAAATGATATTTCATTCCTTTAGGATGATTTTTATTGTCTCTTTGGGGACGATTGTTCACTCCTTTTGAGACGATTTCTATCGTCTCTTTGGGAATGATATTTTGTTCCTTTAGGATGATTTCTATTGTCTCTTTGGGAACGATTATTTGTTTTTTTTAAGATGATTTCTATCGTCTCTTTTGGGAACAAATGTATCATTCCTTTTGAGACGATTTCTATCGTCTCTTTTGGGGACGAATGTATCGTTTCTTTTGAGACGATTTCTATTGTCTCTTTGGAAATGATATTTCGTTCCTTTAGGGACGATAGAAATCATCTCTTTGGAAAAGAATGTATTGTTCCTTTAGGATAATTTCTATTGTCTCTTTGGTGACAATTGTTCGTTCCTTTTGAGACGATTTCTATCGTCTCTTTGGGAATGATATTTTGTTCCTTTAGGACGATTTCTATCGTCTCTTTAGTGACGATTATTTGTTTCTTTTGAGACAATTTCTATCGTTTCTTTTGGGAATGAATGTATCGTTTCTTTTGAGACAATTTCTATCATCTCTTTTGGGAATGAATGTATCGTTCATTTGGGAACGATTATATTATTCCTTTGGGAATGTATATATTATCTCTTTGAGACGATTACTTTCAGAATGTTTTTATAATTTTCGCAAAAATCGGCTCAACAGATTTTGACCAGTGAGATATAGTCGATTTGTTGTCAAATCTTGAGTCTAACTGAAATTTTGCTAAATATTATAACCGAAAGGTCTTAATGCCGAAATAATGCTAAATTATATGTTATGTAACAAATTATTATCGATTTTTGTAACTTAAGCCGAATTTTTTCTGAATCACATGATCGAATCGGCTGAATGTTTACCAAAAGATATTAGTGCTGAAATAATGCTAAATTATTTGTGATGTAATAAATTACTATCGATTTTTGTAACTTAAGCCGAATTTTTTCTAAATCACATGATCGAATCGGCTGAATGTTTACCAAAAGGTATTAGTGCTGAAATAATGCTAAATTATGTGTGATGTAATAAATTACTATTGATTTTTGTAACTTAAGCCGAATTTTTGCCAAATCACATGACCGAATCGGCTGAATGTTTACCGAAAGGTATTAGTGCTGAAAGAAATGATTTTGACTAGTGCAAACGATGCACAGTTGAACTTAGTTTAATTCTTTTATTTTTTAGAGTTAGTATCTTTTACGTTGCATAGACTTCTTGAAGATGCATTACCACATCGAATTCAAAAATGCAAAAAAAAAATGCTATGCTACTATATGTATAGTCATATATTTAAAATTTTTGATAGGTTTAAACCATAAGAAAAATTTCTTTCTATAATCACAATCATAATTAAAAATAGTTTCTATAATTATTTTTAAAATTTTTAACTAATTGTAACTTAAGTTGCAATACTTTGAGTTGCAACATTTTATGAATTTTTATATTAAAATAAATTTACAAGGAGTTACAACCAAGTTGCAACTCAAGTTGCAACTTACTGAGTTGCAACTTCTTAATTATAATGCCCATCTTTAATCATAATAATATCTCTTTATAAGTATATTTTGCTTTACAAGTCACACCATGTATTCGACTATATGATTATAAAGAGGTATGACTATATAATTTTAATTTCTTTAACATTATTCAAATACTTAAAAATGATTTTAGATTTATATTTCTGATTTATATATTTTTAATAATACAATAAAATAATTTCAAAATCACAGGTTATTAATTTTTACATTTTTAATAATTCTGATTACTTTTTTTCTTTATTATATCTATTTTTATATCTCTAAAAATAAACATTAAAAAAAATAAAAAACTGTAAAACATCTCTTATTTTCAATTTTTTTTTTTGTTTGATCATTTTTTTGAAAGAGAAAAAAGCTTTTTTTTTTCTTTTTTTCTCATTTAAATGAAATAACCTTATAAATAAATAAAACAATTTTCTGAATTTGATTGGATAAGTATTAGAAAATTGTAACATATACAGTATTTATAACGAATAAAAATTATTATTATACACTAATATTTATAACTTTCTTCGTATATAAAAAACCTATTATAAACCTATTATTTATTTTTTTAAAAAAAAATCCTATTTTTTTTTTTAATCTGAATCTTCTTCAGATTCTCTTTCTTTTCCTTTGGTCATTCTTTTTAATTCTGCTACTTGAGCTTTCATCCTATCGTGAATTTCGGATACTCGTTTATCACAAGTTTCAATTTCTTGTTGTTTTTGTGATATGTCTTCTTTAGCAGAGGCGATTTTACTGGTAAGCCGTCCCTGTTATTATTATTAATGAAATTCAGTACTTACGAACAAAATTTTAAGATAAATTTATTTATTACATTATCAAAAATAAACTCAAACCTGTATTAATGGATTTATTGCAGTTGCGAAGTGAGTTTCGAGATTATTTATATCTTGTTCTAATCTGGAAATTTCGGCTGTTAATTCTTCACGTTTGCTAAATATTTGTGTTAACTCCGCTAAAAATTTTATATATAAAAATTAAATCAATAATCACTTGATATTTTTAACTATTAAAATAAGGTATTTGTTCAACTTACGATCTTCATCCACGCTTTCATCATCATCATCCGATGCTGAAGTAGATGCTTCTGAATCTGTCGATTCTTCATTTTTATCACTATCATCATCATCATCATCAAAATCAGACATTTCATCAATTTTTTCAAGAGCATTCTCAAACTCTTTTTGTAAATCATCGTTATATTCCTTAGGTGTTGTATACATCTGATCCTCATCAGGCATATCCTCTCCCAATATCATCGTATCGTCTTCTAATTCGGCATCATAATCATCTTCTTCACCTTGCACTTCAACTTCCTCTTGATCCTCCTCCTCGGGTATTTTTGACCCGAGATATGCGGCTGGTGTTGCTGTTTCCGAGTCAAGTGCATCTTCCCATACTTTATTTGATAAAATTGACTCTCATCAGTTAAAAATATTCAAACATTTGTAAATATGGCTTAAATAAATACCCAGCTTTACTTCTTCCGCTAACGAATCTTCATGTAATAATTTTTCAACCTCCTTTTCGATATCTTCAATTTTCTGTATTGTTAATCGAGATTATGGAAATTGATTAATTATTATTATTAATTTGAATTTACTAGAGGACCTGAATCTCCTTTTAAAACAGATTTCAGTTCCTTAAGTATTTGATAAGGATAAACAACGAGGACATTGCTATTGCCTGCTTCCTTCGTTAAAGGAAAATACACATTCGTATATGTTGTGAAATAATCTTTTTCGCGAAACCTCTCATTCGTTTTTGTTTGAATGAGACATTCTCTCATTCCATACAAAAATAAAAAAGTATTTAAAAGTGTTTAAAAAGTGTTCACCTTTGCAGATATGCGTTTTCTGAATCTTTTTTTTCTGACATTCTTTAAGGGAGGTGTTAATCCATCATACCATTCAAACTCATCAACATTTGAAGATTTGGAATTTTCAGTAAATAATTGTTCATCTTCCTGAGATGAAATCTGAGATTCTACGATCAACATCTTAGGTGATTATGCAAAAAAAATGAATCAATAAAATTTTTGTTTTATTAACTAAATGAAAAAAAAAGGTAACAATTAAAAATTACCTGGCATATATCAGCAACCTTGTAATATTGTATTTTATTAAAAGTTTTTTGAGCCTCAATAATACAAGGTAAATCTACTAATCTAGCACGATACTTTTGATTCTCAAACGTAAATATTGCACGACGAGGATCTTAATATGATAAATTAAACAAAATTTATTCGAATTAAAAATTAAAAAAAGATCACCTTTAAAAATAATTACCTTTAAAGATGATTCCAATATCATCAGTTAATTTTCCACTTTTAACCTTTTCTCTAAATCTTTGTTTAACTTCCTCAGGGACCATCAATCTTAAAATAAATTGTTCCTCAACGGGGACGTCTTTCTCCTCGATATCATCGTCTTCAGGTATTTTACCTAATATAATTGGTCTTTTTTTTGTACCCGTATGTGCTAGATGTTGTTTTTGTTTCTCCTTTGAAGAACTTCCCAGCTTTGAGAGCTTTATTTTTAAAGGTGCTGACGTTTTTGAAGAGCTAGCAGTTGAAGAAGTGACCGTTGAACTCGCTGTAGGATGAACAAGGCCTTTTTTAGAGTCTTTAGGTCTTCCCATAATTTTTATTATTTGTAAATTTCGTTTGTAGAATCCGTATTACTTTTATATTTGTCGTTAAACATGCTAGATTAAATTTGACGTTTAGTTGGTAAGAGTTGAATTGAACCACGTGTTCAACATTTATACCACATCTTGTGCTTCTAAATAATTTTTTTATCAACCAATCAAAAATTTTTTTTTTGATAATGAAAACATCATCGACCGAAATTTCGTTCATTATTAAATTATTTAAAATTCATTTTCTTTTCGTCGTACTTTTCTCGGCACATTTCTATATTAAATAAGTCTTTTAATCAAAGAAAAAAGAAAAAAAAATGTCGTCATTATCCCGCTTCACTACAGCTTGGAAACATATAAGGTTTCCATGGCGTTCAATAGTTTATGTAGGATCGGATAATATAGGTAATGAATATTTTGAAAGCACTAAAAAAATTAATGGTCGAACGAAAAGAATGGTTGAATTAAAAGTCAAAAAGGAATTGGTTGATTATAGTGGTGACGAAATTCCTGGTAAGTTGTAATTTCACGTTAATTTTTAAATTCATGTTTAATTTAATTTATAAAAGTACACGCACATTATAGTGCAATGGGGAAGTTGGTTGAGACATACTAGATACGATCCACCCACAATAGAGGTAAGTGGAAGGAAAAAATTCAAAAAGTTGGTTATAGGTATTATTTAAACGCATTCTAATCGAGGAATTGATTAAATATAGGAAATCGTACTAGCTAATAAACGACGCGAATTGATTATAGAAAGGGCGAAAAAATTGGATCAAGAATACGAAGAGGTCTGATCTATTTTATTTGATTCCTTTGAAGATACGACGAAGTAAAATTCTTATATAATCTATTTTAGCAAAAAGCGAAACTTGCGAGTGATCAATCGAAAGATCAGCAAAAGGTTCCGTCGGAAGTTGAAGGTATATTATTTATTTTCATCTAAATTAATATACGAAAAAAAAACATTTTTTTTTATTGACGGAACTTTGAATAGGAGATAAAAAATCTGCTGCACATAAATCTCCTCCAAAAATACCTGTTGATTCGTTTGAGCCCGAACCTTGGAATCCGATTTCCAAGAAAAAATAAAAAGATCATTCAATTATAAAAAAAGTTTAGCAAATCAAACTTGCTAATTTATTTCTGTTAATGGTAAAAAAAAAATAAATGTGTCATTACTGTTTTTTTTTTTTTTAAAAAAAAAACAAAAGGTAATTTATTATAATAATAAAACTACAAAATCTACAGTATATGGATTCTACATCTTTACCCTTAAACGTTCATAGGTAGGTAAAAAATTTATGAAAGGGCATAAAATTTGTTTTCAACGGGATACAAAGTTACATAGTATAAGCGACAAATAACCGCATTTTACTGCGTAACAAACCATTCACAAAATAGTTTATATTTTCTTTTTTTAAAAAATTATGCCTCTTCACCTAAACTGCTATCACGCTGAGGTGATAACAAAGGTTCTCTAAGATCATTTTGTGAATAAGAGACCCTTCTTCTAGTTGGACTTGAACCAATAAGTGCAGTAAAGCTTCCACCATATCTGTACCACACAATAAAAATAACTAGAAGTTGTATAATTGCCAATATCAAACAAGTAATGGATAGATATTTCGTTTCGCGTTGATGCACTGCAATTCCAAGCAAGGCCCTACGCATTTTATCATGAGAATTCAAAAAAAAAAATTTATAAACAAAGAAATAAATAAAGACAAATTTCTAATAAATATACATACCAAGCAATTGTAGCATTAAACACACCGTCTCTTTTCCCTCTACCAAACGCACCAGTAACGCTCCAAGCAACTCCAATAATAGCCATAATACAAGCTAATAAGATTGCGATAATGACATATTTTTTTTCATAACCTTGAGCAAAAGCAATAAATCCAATATGAAATAAATTTAATAAAGAAAAGGCTGAAAGCATTGCAAATGGGGTATGAATGAATGAAATAATCTTGGATGCAACGGACTCTGGAAGATGATTTGGTGGATAATTGAACGTGAGACGATGATGAACTATAGATGTAGAAATTAAAGTCAAAAGAACGAAAAGTTCCGCAAGGATGAAAAATTTTCGAATCTATAAAAAGAGAAATTTACAAGAGAAATTTACAAAAAAAATTATCAAGTTGACAAATTAACCAAAAAAAAAAAATTTGTTTCGCGATAACTTACCAAGAAATATAATTGACCACATAGAAACAAATTACTAAATGTAAACCACCAACTAACAGCATTTTCTACAATTTCTTGTACAAATTGAATGTTACTTAATTGAGCGAAAACAGCGAATACGATTTGTAAAATCTGTAGGGTAATCCAAAATATTCCAACAAATGTTGCTGAAGGGGTAAAAAAAGTAGGATAATCATCATATATCTCTTTACTTGAATGAGAAAATACTATAAAATAAGTATTTAAAAAGGAAGCCAATAAGATTGATAAAAGATTGAATGCACGTAAAGTTTTTAATTTAATTGATGGAGAGCGAGTTGTTAATTCTAAATTGTTTGAATGAGGCATTTGTGAAAGAAAATTGAGAAAGAAAAAAGTGTGAGAAAAAAGCGGAAATTTAATTTCGCATGATGTTTTCTATTTAGATTTTTAATAAAGCATGACTAAATGCACAAATATTATGAGAGTTATAAGAAAAGCCGGGGCATTTATGGCTAGTGTTTCGTTTTTTCATTTCGAATGAACGCCGATGCGAGCTTATTATAGAAAATAATGGTGATCGTTAACATGACGTGTATACAACCAACCGATTAAAAAAAATTATATAACACTTTGTTCGCAATAATAGTACCCAGGTACTAATCGCAACTCAAAAAATATGACCTTGCCAAGCAAAGTTCCTAATCTATCTAAACCGATGCAAGGAGAGAAGAATCTTTGGGTTTCTATATAATTATTAATTAATTATTTTTATATTTACATATATATATATATTTTCTTTCATGTCCCAAGTTGTGGATTGTTTCCCAGTTATCCGTTTGGTACCTAAGTAGATCTTTTACAGCTGTTTTTCAAAGAACTACTGTCAAAGAACATCAAGCTTATGCTGAAGGAATATATTTTACTTTCTAAAGAATCATGAATGATAATTAAGTCACATGAGTATATTATTGGATTTTTTATTTGTAGATAAAGTATGCCTAAAATGAACTCGAAATATTTTACTTCGACTTTGCTTTGTCAATGTGTAAAGTAGTAATATAAATTTAATGAAAACATAAACTTTTTATTATTTTCTCATTATTATTAAAAAAAATTTATATATTATATTTTATCTTTCATATACTTCTGCAAGTTTACAACTGATATTGGATGATGCAAATGTAATTTGTAAATATTGACGGGTATATCATCAGAAAAGTGAGCAGGACATTTTTATGACATGATTTAGATCAGGAGGATTTGTAAGTAGTGTTTGTTAAAAACCTTTATTATCAGGAAAACGGGTAATGAGATTTGCCTTCTCCATTCCTTCTCCCCTTCCTTTAGTCTTCTTTTTCTTCCTTCAACATCCCACTCCTTCTTTTCAGTTCCCCAACAACTTTCTCTAATTCGTTTAATCTTTGTTTTTTTTTCTTCCTCCATTTATTCAACTTTTACTCAATATCTCTTAGCTTCTTGTGGTTCCTTTTCGATTTTTTCAATTGTTGTCCTTTTTAAGGTGTAAAATTTTTGGATCGGTTTACATCAAACCAAATTTTTTAAAAAAAATGGCGAGATATTATTAATCTAGCAGTGATGCATATGCGTTTTGTACTAAAAATGTTAATAATAAGCTTGGGTTTTCGGCTTAAAAATATTTTTTTTTGTGTAGTTTGCAAATTTCATAATTTTGTACTGTATGTTTATCTTCAAACGGTCTCTATATGAGGACAACCCTTCTATCAAAACTTAATGAATAAAAATCTTTTAAAGCATAAATGCACTACCTAGAAACATTAATTTACGCGTAATTTTGCTAAAGTAATGAAAGTAAAAAAAAGAATTAGGATATATGTATAAGTATGAATTATGATTCACTGTTGCGGAGGAGCAAGATGGCGTTTTTTCCCGTTGAGTTTCCAATCAAAATAAATTATAATTGATTTTATGATTTTGAAAATTTTATGTCAGCATGCATTATTTTCTATATTTGGAAATATATTTGGAAACATTATCAATTACTCTACGATATACATTAAATTAAGAGATAGCAAAGAATAAAATAAATTAAAATAAAAATAAAATAAATATAAAAAAAACCAAAGTATATATACTATAAGTTAAATAAAATCATTCAAAAATGGTAGCAATAATATCACTAAATCGTTTTATATCAATATTATTATTCTTAGGTTTAATTTGAGACATTCTTCTAGAATTAGGGATGGTTTCAAACAATGAGATATTACTTTTTTCACTATCAGAAGTGTAAGATGGTGGTTTTGATCGTCGAGTACCACTCGGAATATATGGTTTTGGTAAAGGAATTCTATTTGCAATAAAATAAGTCATTCGATCAAGAGCTCTTCTTGAATGTTTACCAAATGCACCTTTTAAGATGGGATAATCATGAACCATGTCTTCGTCCATTTCAACGACAACATCGGGATGTTGTCCATCCAATGAATTATTAATGTTGAGACCTTTACTATCAAAGAATGTATTTGCGATAAAGTCTGAATTTGGAACAAGAACAGGGGCGTAAAGTTTTTTAGATTCAATAAATTTTCGAATAAACATTTCAATATCATCTTTAAACATTTCTTTACCACCATATGAAACTAATAGTGGTGGAAATTTTGCCAAAATATGATGAGGAGTATGTAATGGACTTATCAAAGGATTTCGATAAGGACTTTCTTGTGTTTCTGTTATATCTACTTTTTTGTTCTTTGATGAATTCTCATCTATTGTTTCTTCGACTATAGAATCCCGTTCTTTTAAAATCTCATCGGAATTAGTGGCCTTAAAACTAATAATACTTTTACGAAGATGAGATAGTCTTTTTCTCCTTTGATCATTATTTATGTTATTGCTTAACCTTTTCCAGATATTTTCAACATCAGCGAATTCAAAAGTATCTTCAACTTTTGCTAACCATTCCATAATTTTATCTTTCTCATGTCGTTGTTGCCATGATGGTCCGTCTTTATGCGCCGGATTCCCTTCCTCACCAAAGATATAACATTCTGCTACGATTTGTCTCAAACCTGATAACCAATCAAATTTGGCATTGGTAAAGAATGATAATGCGTCACATGTTAATTCCACCCATGGTGATATTAATATTCCTCCAAGTGGTAATGGTATATCCTTCTTACCATTTGAGGTTTTTGTATCTGGATATAACTTTTGTAATAACGCTAATACTAATCCAGCTCCAGCAGAATCTCCGCATATAAATACGTTTTTACTACCTGCGATACCACTTTTAACCAACCAATTATATGATCTTTCGGCACAATTCAATCCGATAGGAAATGCTTCTTCGGGCGCAAGTGGATAATTGATTGCTAATACTCGAACGTGTTTATTATATCGTTTCCGTAAATTTTTTAACATATAACATAATGATTTTAATCCGACTAATGATGAGGACGCAACGTATCCTCCTCCGTGAAGATATAATATCGTGGCCTCACTTTCTTTTTGTTTATACTTGATTGGTCCTAACCAATACCCTTCAACTCCCATCTCTGTATCTTTGGGTTTTATTGATTCAAATCGCTCACTACATTGAATTTTGTTTAGAAATCCCATATATGCACTTGTTTGACGTACTGCTTTCAGTGATGTTTCGGATGCTCTTTTCAATGTGCGAAGATATGTTTCTTGATAAATTGTTATATTTGATATTAATTTTTTTTCTCTTATTATGTGATTAAAACATACTAGAGGATACATCAGCACTGAAAAAAGGAAAGGAATCATTAATACGATTTATTAATTTTCAACCTTTTTACAAAAGAGTTACTAACATGCATATATCGTTAATCCGAAAGGCCCTTTTCTGATTTTTTTTTTTTATTTTTTTTTTAAAAAAAAAAAACTAAAATTAATAAATTTAAAAATATATATATATATTAATTAATATTTTTTTTTCATTTACATGATGGGAGGCCAATTTGATTCATTCTCAAATATTTTGCGTAATTTTTCTCGGGTTGCCGCTCCTTCCAATTTTTGTAATGCTGCTTCTTGGTTGATTTGCTGCTCTTCTAATTTTTCTGACATTATGGATCCAGTCCGTCGTGAAATTTTTTAAAGAAAGAAAGAAGTTGATTATGAAGAACGAAAAAAAAAGATAAAAAAAAATAAAAAAAAAACATTAGATAAAGCTAATCTATTTTATATTCTTTTTTTTTTTTACGATTAACACTATATTCTTTTTTTTTTTACGAATAACGCTTGCCCATAATAAATGCTACACGTGGGGATGATAAACCATGCTTTATTAAATATAATTCAAAAAAGAATAAATAGAATAGTTATTATAATAATGGTAATAAAAACCGTATGTTTTGATGGTCGCAATTTTTTTCCTAGTATAATTTTTTACTAAATTTGTAATTTGTAATTTTTTTTTTTTTTTTTTTGGAGAAATAAAATCATAAAATCGATTACAACGGCGAAAGGATGTATGCTAACTTTTATGTAAATAAGCAGGTACGCTATTTTAAATTTTTTTAAACGTTCATTTTAAGTTGATCGGCAAGGATTCTGATAAATTTAATAAGAAATCGGTTTCGAAAAAGATCATCTATTCGAAGTCATTAATTCCATAAGAATTTGGATTAGATTCATATTTTTGTGTATATTCAAAATATAAATATATTTATATTATTAGTTATAAAACAAAATGATTTATTATTATTAACATATAGAAATGAATGTGCATATTATGGATAATACATCTTCGGATTCATAATTTATTATATTCTGTAATCAAATCATTTCTATTATCACGAATTTATTTAAATGTAATTGATTCGATATATAAAGTAAGGATAACCTTATATATATATTATAAATTATTTGATTATCCAAAACTTTGCATACTTTTTAATCAGCATTTTAAATAAATTATACAGAATATTATATCAATAATTGGTATATTATTAAATTATTATTATTTTATTTTCAACCAAGTATATCAAAAAATGTATTCATTTAAAATTAGAGTTAATTATTAAATCTTTCAAAGAATTTAAAAACATGAGAAATTTATTTACTTAACTTATTATAATTACTTTTTATTAATTTTATACTTTTCATTTCTACTTAAACTATTTAAAAACCTGTTTCTTAAAAATAAACGAAAAAATTTTAAAAGTTAAATAATGATTTTATATATATTATATTTAAATAAGAGAAAATAACAAAAAATTATGAAAAAATTAAAGAAAAGAATTAAAATATATTAAAATATCTTTATTAAATATCATAAATTTTCAAAATAGTTATTTTAAAATTAAATCTGAAATCTTATTAAAAATTTTAAAGGAATAAATCATTACTGTTAAATTTTAAAAATAATAAATTTATAAATTAAAAAATAAATAAAATATATATAAATATATAATTATTAATAAATATTATTTTATCAAAATATAAATTAAATTTTATAAGTAAAAATTAATTAAAGATATAAATTAATTATATTTCAAAAAAAATAAAATAAAGACTTAGGGGACTTACATATATGACGTAATTATAGGTTATTATAGATCTGACTCCCCTCCTCCCCCGGTGAGACTACGATATCACGTGATAATTAAATTTATTTCATCCATTATTATTAAGCATTACATTTTACATTTACAAATTACAATAAATTACAATACATTTTATACAATAAAGAAAAGAATACTTTTAAATTGTTGAAGAATACTGTTGAATATCAAGCTGTTTTCTTAGAAATTCTGGGTAATTTGAATTGCATAAATTTAAAAGTTGCTAATGTATTTTGTGATATTGATCAATGTAACTTTTGCTAATATATGTTCGCTTAGCTAGAAATTCTTCAATGTCCTGTACCTAAAAATTTGAGTATTATAAATATTTAATAAAATAGCACATGATTTACCTTGTAGCCCTTCCCATTTTACTTTATTATGATTACTAAGTAGTTCATCATCTCTATGTATTAGTATTAATCTAAAATAATTTTATAAAATAATAAATTTGAGTGATGATTCATATTATTTTTATGTTAGTATGTATCAATAAAAAAATATTACCCTTGTAGCATTAGTTTATAATTCCACCATATCTTTCGCAACTGCATGTACGTGACTTATCATCAGTCTTAATTTTTAATATAACTAAATTTGACCATATACAATCGTCGCGTCTATAAATGTAATATTAATCGTGTCTTTGATCATCACTTCTTGATTTTTTTATCCAAAACTTTAGCATGCAGGCTTTTCTAACTACACTAAAATACAACAAGTTTTATATTTATAAAACTCCTACAAATCAACATCAGAGATTTTGTAATGCTTTTGGTTATCAGCGTATGGTGAATGCAAAAAATCCTATTTATCCAAAAATTAACCTATGTACAGAATATACTAACGTGTGGAAGAAAATTCAGCATAAACCTCAGGAAGAAATCGAAAATAAAATCCAAGAATATCTGGAAACTCCAATTCTAATTCAAGGCTTTTTGCAAACTAATCGTTCACGAGCTGGCTCATCTCAAAGCTCAAAGTCCACCCAAGTTATACAGGCCTTTCAAAAGCCAATGGAAGAGATTATTGTAGTTGATGCCAATCCACCTCCCAATACTGCTGCACAGAAAAAAGCCACAGAAACTATCAATATAACTAGTATAAAACTTGCAGATCTTCAGCGTTTTTATAATTCTACTAATGATGTAGAAATTCAGTATAATTTAATGGAGCGCATAGTAAGTCTTAAGGAAATTTTACATAATGAAGATAATAAAATCAAGAAATTAAAGCGTTAGTCAGGTTATCAACGTAAAAGTAGGGGAAAAAAGCAAAACTCCTACATGAAAATCAAGAAGTAATAAAATACGATTCACCTGGTCATCTGCCTCTTCTAATTCAATATCCTGATTTATATGAACACATACATGAATGTATTGAGTTTAGAGCTGCAGATAAAAAAAGAAGAAAAGAGATAATTAAAGTTAGGACCATCCGTCATTTCCAAGAAGAACTCAATTCAAAATATAATGAATATCTTTCTCGTATCACCCTCAGTAATTACCTGTTGCCATCTCGATCAAATTCTATAGCATCAAAGGCTCATCACCATCTGGCTAATATAGCAATTGCATTTGTTTCTCAAGATGAAAAAAAGGAACACCCTGATGAGCATTATTGTCTTGCTTCTATAAAAGGAGCAAAACAATTCGCTACCTTATTCCTAACTCATTCTGTTATTATTCTTCAGGATGACAAAGCCAAAATTCCTCTTAGCATCCCCGCGGTCAGAAGAACTTTTCAAACAATGCAAAGTTTTCGAGAACTAGTTACATTACCCAATCACGATTTCTGATTGGAATGTAGCAAAAGCTTATCCTATCGGTCTATTTACTCATTAATCCAAGTGATACAAATGACACTTTTCGTAATGACCAACTTTCAATTTTCATACGCCCATAATACCAAATTGGCACAAGCTCAACCTCTCATATGAGTGATCTAAATTCATTAACAAAAAACAGTTATTTTGATGAGGTACTAAAAGTTGATAGTCAGATTAAACTTATTTGGATTCTTTTAGTTGACGGAGGCCCAGATGAAAATCCCTGTCACATGAAGAATGTTTTTCAATATTGTAGAATGTTCTGTGTGTTTGATTTTGATTATCTTTCTGTTCGAACGCATGCATCCAGTCAATCAGCATACAACCCCGTTGAGCGTAGTATGGCAACGCTTTCTCAAAAGCTAGTTGGCATCACATTGCCAATTGATAAATATGGTTCCCATCTTAACTCTCAAGGCCAAGTAGTTAACTTAAAGCTTGCAATGAAGAATATGCGTTATGCTGGTGAAGCTTTGTGTGCTCTTTGGAATCGTGATCCTATCTTTGGAAGACCAGTTACAACATAATATATTGATCAAAAAAGCTCTCCATTCAATAATATCATGTTTCCTGAATGTGATAAAGAAGATACCGATGAATCGATTGTATCCTGGCAATAGCTAGAAAATCACATTAAAATTTGTCAATATTCCCTTGATATTAAAAAATGTGAAAATCCTCTTTGTTGTTTACCTAAATGTCATGAAGAGTCAGCCATCCTTCTTGTAGAAAACAATGGATTCCTTCTACCTGTAACAAAAGGAAAGGATAGTCATTTTTTGAATCTGCTTCATATATTAGAATATTACGATAAACTCAAAATACCTGAATATGATGCCTATTGTCCTTCTATTAATTCAAACACTTATACTCGTCTCTGCTGCTTTGATTGCAATGTATACTTCCTGACTTTTTCTATCGTTGCCCTACATAAATAAATTCAACATCCAAAATGACGAGGACGACCAGCCAAACAAAAAAAGCCACTTATTAATTCTATCGATGATTTTTCAGTTGCATCTACATTAGCTAGACAGGCACTAGGCTTATATAACTGGGCAATACAATCGGGTAGTGAGTAAGGTGTTTATTACAATGCTAGGACGGGTTTTAAGTAAAAAAAAATTATTAGTAAAAATTTGCTGTATGCTAAATCATTAAATCATGTAAATATTAATGTTCCGCTAATACATAAATTGTTTAAGAAAGTTCAGTTTATCAATTGAATTATTGTTAGAATTCGTTATACATTTTTGTTTTAAATGACATCTGTCAAATTAGATTTAGCATTTACCCAAATATATGTCTAATCAAATTCATTAACATAAACGATATATATAATGGGGTTAGAAAGTATGTCGTCGAAAGGAAATACCAGTATGTTTGCAAAATGGATATAAAAATATTTTTGCTTTATATGCTGAAAGTTATTTTTTTTAAAAAAAAAATGACAGAGTCGAAATTATTGCCAATGATCGTACAATACCTTCATATCGTATGTAGATTATCATGTGACCTGAATCTTTATCCTGATTGGCTAATTATAGAGGTGGGATATTTGAGATTCTCCCTCCAATAATTACGTCATATATGTAAGTCCCCTTATAATAAATTTATAAAATAATAAATTATAATTTTTATTAAATATAGTATTGTTATTATTAAAATTATTA